CAAAGAGCACCAGTGGTGACCAAATATAGACACTGGGCTGTCTTCATTCTACTTAGAGGAAAGTGTGACAGAAGGTTTACAAATGAAGGATTATTTTTAAAGCCACTGGGAGTTTTCAGCATGAAGACCCCACTGGAGTTTTAGAAACGACCAACTGTGTATAGTAGATTTGTGCTCCCATTTAACTTTGCTTGTTCGAAGTATGGAGTAAAATCAATAAAGACAGCACTGTGCTAGATTATTTCACAAACAAAAGGGAACAGCAGACTCCATCACAGGCCTACAGGCGTTTTGGGAAGACTGGCTGTGCATTCACTCCATATATATGTGGTTATCATGCTACTTATACTAGTTTAAACTAGCAATACTGAAAAAATCATAGAGGCAATAGATTAGTCAAATTTACATGCTTTTCTTGCCTATTTCCTGGACTTAATCTCCAACTTATTTCATTCTACTAATAATTTTAAATTTATGGGCAAGTTTTGGTTATTTACTTATTTAGGGTGCTGGGAATTGAATCTAGGCTCTCACGTGCCAGGCAAGTGCTCAGCCATAAAGCTACACCCGCAGCCACTGGGTAGGTTTATTTTTGAATGGAAAATAACATTTACTGACTTAAATAAACCTCACAATGTAGACACAATACCATGTTGTTTATTATTATGCCATTCCCCTAGCAGCGATATAATATTTATACAAAACAAGAGTTGTAGATAATAAGGCCTCACACTTTGTTCACTGATGTTCACCAGAATTCTTGCCGTTCTTTTCTCTGTGCCTTTACCATCTGCCTTGCTGACGTCTCCTGAGTCACCAGTGAGCACTTCATTGCATTTATTTGTACATCTTATTTCACATTCCTGGCAATTAACAAAATGTAATATGGTGGGTATTCACTCTGTCTGTGTTAAGTGAAAATTTCAATCAAGAGGGGAAGAGAAAGGAGAGGGAATGGTTGGATCAGGGGAACCCTCCCCAACAAAACCCTAATGGCAGACACCTGTCATTATACACTGTCAAAACCCACAGAATGCAGAGCACAAAAGATGAAACCCACTGTAAACTATGGACTTTAGTAATAGTATCACATCAATATTGATTCATCCACTGTAATAAACACACCACACTAATAGAAGATGTAAGTAACAGGGGGAGAGTGCTGGGACTGTAGCTCAGTGGCAGAGCTCTGGCCTAGCACGCGTGAGGCACTGGGTTCGCTCCCGCACTGCATAAAAGGGTAAAACAAATAAAAAATAACATGGGGGAATTAGGAGTGGAGAGGGGAGGAAGGAGGACAATGGAAACTCTCTGCAGTTTGGATCCGTTTCTCCATCAATTTAAAACTGCTTCCTCCAAAAAAACACAATAATAAAAAAGATGAATTGAGATAATTTAGGTGAGATGGTATTAGAATGTGTCTCTTGAAAGTAACAGAAAACCAAATTTAACTAGCAAAGGAAGAAAGGTCAGTGTATTGGTTACTTCTCAAGTCATGGGAATGCATCAAGGAAAACTGGACCTGGAGATTTATGTGCTCTTTTTTTTTTTAAAAAAAATCTAGATTATAAATGCCTCAATCAGGGGTCAGCAGCTCCTAGGTTCAAACTTCCAAAATGTCTAGCCATGCCACAGTGGGATGCTATTTAGGGTAGTTTAACCTTAATCACTTAGGGGAGAGGAAGAGAAGGGAGAAAGGGAGAGATAGAAAGAGGGAGAGAGGGAGACAGAAAGGCTAACTGGAGACTGGAGTTTGGCCATTGACAAGACTGGAAGCGAGGAGGTGTGACAGGAACCTACTGCATTTATTCTGGCAAAAGAAGATGATGTGCAGATCTAGGAGACAGAAATACAGAGAAGTGGAACAGTCCTGGAAATATTCTGAAGTTGTGGATCTCAGGATTTTTTGAGATGTTGGGTGTAAGGTGTGAGAGAAAGGGATGAGAAATGACTTCAGAGTTTTTGTCTTTTTTTTTTTTTTTTTTGGTACTAGGGATTGAACCCAGGGGTGCTTAACCACTGAGATAAATCCCCAGCCCTTTTTTATATTTCATTAGAGACAGGGTCTCACTGAGTTGCTTAGAGGCTCACTAAGTTGCTGAGGCTGGTTTTGAACTTGTAATCCTCCTGCCTCAGCCTCTTGAGTGGTTGGGATTACAAGCATGTGCCACCTGAAGTTTTTGTCTTGAATAATTCAAAGGATGGAACTGTATGTAACTGAACAGAGGAATATTATGTTGAAACATAACAAAAGCTCCATTTGGAAATACGGCCTATTTGTCATCTCATGAGAGATGTCAAATAAGCAGTTGGCTATGTGAGTGTTTTCCTCCAGGTATCCTCCCCATAACATTATTTATTGACTGTAATTTTTTATTGTCCAGCTCCTTCCTCTGGAATATAAGCTGCGTGAGATTAGGGACTTGGCCTCTTTGGTTCACCGTATTATCCCTAAGATCTAGAAAAATGCATGGCACATAACAGATGCTCAGTAAAGTTTACTGGAATGATGAATAAAAGAATGAATAGGAGAGTTAAATGTTCAGTATAACAAAGTAGGTTGATTGAGAAAACAGGAAGTTATGTTTGAAAGTAAAATAGCTTGCCTGGTTATTATTAAGGAGAGGCTTGCAACAGGTATTATGTATTAAACATTCTCTATGATGAACAATGTCAAATGAAGAGACACTGAAAAACTTCTGTAAACTTTTATTTTATACTTATGGGTCACTGCCAACTTAGGGCCCTAGCTTCTGGCTCATTTCTACAAAGTTTACTTGTTGGAAAGATGTGGTAAAGGTAAAAATTGGAAATGTTCCACGAGTAAACCACAGTTATCTACCAGACAATAAACAAAATGTACATTGAAGCCTGTGTAGTTATTCAGAAATCTATAACTTTCTGAATTTATAAAATGAATTTTATATGTAACAAACAAAGCATCTAAAAAAAGGAGACAATTGTCTAAACAAAACAAAGCCTATGATTTATTTTATTAATGGCTTTTATCACTGCATATTATGCACCAGCAGGATAATGGAATTAGACCACTAACACACAATGGAGGAGTATTTCTTAGCCCTGCAGTTCCAACAATTGGAACCTGACATATTTTACTTATAATGGTGTTAAAATATGATCCAAAAATTAGGTTAGCTAATTTGTCACCAGAAATCTATCTGATGAAGTTTGGTGTTTTTCAAACTCATCACCACATTGAGTTGAGAATTAGAACCATCTAAAACTTTAAAGTGTAATGACTTTTGCTTTAGCTCATGAAACAACGTCACCCCAAATACTGCTTTGACAAACCAACCAACCAAAACCCTATATTTTTAACTTATGGCTTATTCCCTCTCATGCTGCCTCCCCTATCCCATTTGCAACGGTAATATGGTCACGAGATTTGTGAACACAGGAGGTACTTATATGTGGCAACTGATGAAGGAGGGTTGTCCCGATGAACTATCACCTAGATTCCATCAGAGTATGTGCTTTGACACAGCCATGGGGCATGATGATTAGATTAGGTTAAATCTATATGTACCACCACACTCATGCATATCTCACACTCACACACATACACACGTACGCACACACACACACACACACACACACTCTATAGAGACAATCACAAAAATCAACTAAAAGAAACTTATAATTGTTTATATATATATGTACATATACACACATAGTAAAAGTTTTTTTTTCTTTTTTTGCTATACTCACAGTCTGTAAACATTTGGGAAAATGCCCAGAAAAAGTCATTGTGGGCCCTTTGAAATGGTGACCACTAGGGAGTAGGGATGAGGTGGGGATTTGGGTTCCTTGTGGTCACCCAAAGAAGAATCAAAAGTCCATGGTAGCAATAACTATATTTCACTGACATGGAACACTTGCCTGGACACTTGGAAATTATCTTTCCTAACTGGAGAAAAGAATAACCCAAAAAAGTCTTATGGCCAGCTAACAATTTAGGAGAAATTAAGAGAATATAAGGCGATATGTGTGTCTATATACATGGATACAGATATAGATACACACCCATGTATGTTACTGTTACCAAAATCTCAGTGAAAGTTTCCAAATCTTCTAAAAATATTCAATCTTTTTCTCCTAGCTATGCTTTAGACATCTCAACATTGCACTGAAAGTCTCAGGCTTGGTTTAATGAGTCATTTAAATTTTGGAACATGATTTTAACATTTTAAAAAACTTAACATTAAAAGAACATTTGGGTTTGTGAAAAACAGAACTATTGGATCCCAGCATTATTTTTGAAATTAACATAAAAATATGTTCAAGGTCTTCTGTAATAAAACACTATTTAAAAAGAAAACACAAGCTCTTAAACATTCTTTGAATAGCAGCTGTTAAACTACTATATGTGGTTACCAGTCTGTGGTTTGTATGCCTGTATTTGTTGCAGCTTTAGAACTCATGTTTTAAAAAATAAAACAGTGAGAAACATTAATGTAATTGTTCACCTGAATATTGTTCTTGTCTTTTCTTTCTTTCTTTTCCTTTTTTTTTTCAACAAAATGTTTGTCAATAGGCTCCATCATTTCTAGGCTACCACATAGTTAAGAAATACTGGCACTGAATGACATTTTAAAAAAAGGTGACTTAAACCCATGCTATTTGGAAGAAAAAAAAACACTTAAAAATTAGAAAATCTAGTTATGTACTTGAAAATCCCTAATTTCATGCAAAGTAGCAAATATCCTTCAGGTTCACGTGATAGTCTCCATTCTCCTCCAATTCCCATCACTTTTTAGTGTCCAAATAACGTATGGAATATGTACATTAGATAAATTAAAGAAGTGAGATTTATGAGCTTGGTGGATATAAATGAATCCACCTTCCACTGCTTTGGAAAACATATGGAGAGCACTTTTTATCCAGAGGAGGGCCTGAATGAAGGAAGAAGGATCAGAGAAGAGACTCCTGGAGACACAGTTACTGCGTGAAATTTTTTCTCCAATAGGATTTCAAGGAGAATCAATGAATGTCTTGCAGATGGTTAGTTAATGCTGTCCTTGTGGCTGCTCCTCTCTGTGTTGTGGTTGTTCTGGTCATGGTTCTTCCACTGGATGCTTGTTCCGTTCATGGGGACTGAGGTCATCAGGCTTTTGGACTGGTGACAGCAGCAACAGAGGCATGACTGGGAGAAGGAACAGACTGTGAATAACACGAACCCACCCACCCGTTACCAGCCTAACACAGAGGCTTTGGGGTCCACCCACACGTGGGGTCCATGTGTGTGCATGTGGGAGGACAGGGAGCATGGACAGTGGTCTGAGTACGAGGCCTGTCATCTGGAGGCAGAAGTTAAACTGTCTCCAGGAGAGAAAGGGGTCTCTTGCTGATTGTTTCAATTCTACTCACAGGTGCAAGAGGAAGGGAAGGCAGTTTTGGCCAAAGGGAGCATCTCCAGGCAGAGGCCAGGGAGTAAGGCATGGATGGGAAGGTTAGAAATGGGCTTCAGGTACACCCCAAGTGGCCCTCAACATCGGGTACCCCATGTGATCTTCACTACAGCCCTAGGTGGTAGGTGTTATTTCCCCCACTTTTATGAATAAGAACAGTGAGGCCAGAGAGGATAATAATAAGAAGAAGAACTTGAATTATAACTCAGGACTCTAGATTGAAATCTTTCCCTTAGGTATGCTGCCTTTTTAGGAAGATCCATTAAAAAAGTGTGTTGAATTTCTGAAAATTTGTATCTTGATTTTTCTCTTCCCCTCTAATTAATATGTAAATTAATTAGCAAGTGATATAAACTTCAGCTTATAAAATGTATTAGATATGACCTGTGAGTTAGTTAATCCATTTTAGGCAGAACATTTTGTATCTTGTAAGCATTTTCAAGGGGACCTCAAAAAAATATGGCAACTTCCATACCAAGTTTCACCCATTTGTATGATTCTGTGGTTAATATGTCTGTCTCCTTTTAGATTACAAGTTCTATGGGGGAAGTTTCTATGCTTCCTCTCTCAACTCTAATAGTCAACTCATACTGAGCATTTTTGTTTTAAGAGGTTTACATATATTAACTCATTTCATAACCTTACTTATGAGATGGATATTGTGATCATCCAACTTTACAGACAGGAAAATTGAGGAAGCGGTAGGGGCACCAACTGAACTCAGATTAGATAATTAATTGTACCTTGAGCTTCATGCTACTCTGCCTAATATGCACCAGTAGCTAAAATTAAAAATCATGGTCAAAGATAAGAAAATCCCATCAGGACTAAAACTGTACTAAAATCATTTTAGAATCTGAAAAAGTGACACATCAATAAAACATGCTTGGAGCTTCTGGCTTAGCTAGAAGGAAGTTTGAAAAACAGAAGGAAACTGATTTTAAATGAAGTTATAGTAGTACAGGTTTCCAGAGCAATAAACATTTACTGTACTTGAAAAAGTCATGACTACATTCACTGTTAAATAGCATTTAGTGAAAGCTTTCTTAATAGCAGAGTTTATGTTTTGTCAAGAGTTTGGTTAAAGTCTAAAGTAAAAAAATGAACTGATTTTGTATATTTTATGTGTTCATATTTGAGCATTTATTTCTCCTCTTCCTCCTCTTCCTCCTCATCTTTCTTTTTCTGTTTTTGGTACTGAGAATTGAACCCAGGGGTGCTTAAAAACAGGGTCACATCCCCAGCCCTTTTTATTTTTTATTTTGAGTCTCGCTAAGTTGCTTAGAGCCTCAATAATTTTCTGAGGCTAGCTTTGAACTTGCAATCCTCTTGCCTCAGCCTCCAGAGTTGCTGGGATTACAGGTGTGTGCCCTGTGCCTAGTTTGAGCATTTCTTTTTAACAGATGGTACTAAACTGACATGTAATTATGTTAGTCCTTTTAGTTTTAACTTCTGATTATGTTTTTGTCAGAATAGATAGTGCTTTTCTGTTATGCCCACAATCTGACCCTCTTTCTAGGTAATAAAAGTGATTTTTCACTTCCCTATTGAAAAGGAGTGTAGCTGATCAAAGTAGTACAAAATTGGAATTGACTGTGTCTGTTAGTTTCTTAATACACTCATTTGGTTGTCTTTAAGAAGTTCTTGCAAAACAGTCTTACCTGGAAACAATTTTTAAATTTCTTGCTCACAAAATATAGAGCTATTGGGTTTATACATGAGTTCATGGTTGCCAAGTTAATACCGATGTAATCCATGAGCAGCAAGAAGCTAGAACAAAAGAAAATAGTGTAGAATAATTAGAACATATTATTTCAAAATCTGCTAAGTAGAATTTATCCTAGGATAAGCATTTTTTCTTCCCTCGAAGCATGTCCTCTGGGCAATTAGAATTTTTTAAAAGTGCTTAGTTTAAGTGGCAGTTTCAGATCTGTAGGACATTTGCAGATAGATCATCCCCTTGGTTGGCTCAAACCCTTATGCACAGCCTCAGGAGGGGTATGGCAAGATTACAGACATGGCTTGCACAAATTTTGGGATCAGTTATGGGCTATGTCAGCTAAAAAAATAATAATTCATTTTGCAGTTTTAATTTTTAGGGCTAATCAGAATGTAAAGAGGATGTAAAAATTGTATAAATGTGCAAAGCAGAGAAACTCCAATTTCTAAATGGGTACGTGGAATGGGTACATGGAATCGTACCTAAGTAATTCACATCGGTTCTTGTCCATCTCATCATACACAGTTTTCTTCAAAATACGGCTTAAGTGAAGAGGGAACCAGCAAAGAGCGAAAATTACAACCAAGCAGAAAACAGTTTTCGCCACTTCTCGACGCTAAAGGAAAGTAAGAAAATAAAATACGTTACATTTGCATCTTTATTCTAGATGAAAGAACTACACAAGGAAGGAAAAGACTTCAGGGGTGGAACAGCACAGAGAAGAGCTGAGAGAACAGACCCTCGCAGGACCTTGGTCTCTTAAGATTTGGAATGCAACATCAAGGTGTTGCCAAGGATGTTTTGGGGCAGTTGCCAGGAAGGAGAGTGGCTTTGTCATTTGAGCCAGGTCAGAGGTTACAAGACAGAGGTGAGCCAACACTGTGGCTGACTCAGCAGGTGAGCACATCAGTGTGTACGCAGGTGCTTAGGTGGATGAGGGTGAGTGCATGGGGAAAGTTGAGCTATTAGCTCAATATCAGGTAACTGACGAGCACTGATGGCATGGCAGGCAAGGTGACAGAGCATGGCAAGGAAATGAATGGGCAAATCCACAAAGACACTTGGGAAACAAAATATGGTAGGAAAATAGCAGAAAAAGCAACAGCAACAAGTTTTCTTCTTTTCCTCACCTTGAAGAAAGCTAGCATTGATTTTTCTTAAGTTCTTTTATTAACAGCATGTAGTTTCCAAAGATATATTGCAAACAGAAGGATGAAGGCAAAGTGTTATCAGCAGTCATAATTATAAAAACTGGAACACACTGACCCTGGACTGATTTCTATTGCAGGTTTACATGCCTTTGGAGTCTGCTTAGGCTCAGAAAAACATAGGTTAGGAATGATCTGCAGCCATTCATTTGGGCACATTATGCTTGAGTATTATACTGCATGCATTTAGAAGTCTAACCAGGGACATAAAATGCAGCTTGTCTGTAACTGGCTTCAATTAATGTCAAAATAAAACTGACTGAAAACAGGAGTTGGGAAATGAATACTGCTTCAACACAAAGCTTATAACATTAAGCCTGGGAAAGCGTCAGTAAACACACACCATCAGTTGAGCCATTTGAAAAGATCTGTGGCAGTTTTACAAATCGTCCTTGTAGTCCAAAGGACTGAGAACTCTTTAATCTTTCATAGTTATTTGGCTAGCTGGGATATGGCATCAGGGGGCATGATCGAGGCAACAAATGAATCATTCCAATCTCCAGAAATGGGGTTTTTTTTTAAAGGGTCATTTTGTGTACACACAAAGATGTTGCATCTTGAAAAATGGAAAGGGAAGGTATTGGGGGAATGTCACCTTTCCTGAGAGTGCCATCAAACAGGATATTAAAAGGTAATATTGACAGTTTGCTATTCCCTTAACCACCAGCCATGCTCCTGTCTTCCTTCCTGTGTCACAAATCTTGATTTTGTTATGGCAGCAAGGGAGTCTTGTCTACTCAACTACTTGGCCACATAACACAATTATGACCAATTAGATTAAGTAGACATTGTGTGGGTTCCTGGAAAAGCTACTTAAAAGTAGGGGGAGCCTTCTCTGGTGCACACATGCTCATGCATTGTGTGTCCTTCCCCTTCTTGCTGTTCTGACATCAGACATAAAAGTAGAGCTGCCACACTGTTTTCCAAGGCTGAAGGAGAGATGGGCGAAAGAGCAGGCACCTGGCCTCTGAGCTCCTTGACCACTGAACCACTGGCCTCTGCACTTTTCGCAGTGGGAGAAAGATAAACCTTGACTTGATCAGCTCACTCTTATTTTGGGTATTCTGTTACCAGCATCCAAACACAACCCCTAACTGATTACGTCTTTACAATGAAGAAAAAATTTGGGACAACCAAGCAAGAAACTAGAAAGAGCCTTAGACTATTAGTCAAAGAGTGGCAAGGCTTCCTACTCCAGGCTAGCTTTCCCACAGTTCACCTGAAGGACTTGTATCCAGCCTTGCTTTATTGTTATGAAAAACTGTTCCAGCTTTGAGTGAGTACCAGATCTTGGGTTCTAATCTCAGTTTGCATGAGCAGATCTCTTAACTATCAATTTAACAAGGTTAATATGTATCCTACCTATCTGTGCTTGGAGGAATCAAAATGCTATGTAACTGTGAACGACATATTATTATTATGTATTTCTGAAGTAAGTACAGCTCAAAGCTGAAATAGACAATAATGATGTTAATGCAAAAACTATCATTTAAAAACACTGTTTTTCATAAATCCATTCTAATTAACTGCTTCTCTCGAAGGGATGAGACTTAATAGTTGCTTAATATATTCACCTCTGCAGTATTTGAAACATTTATGCTTGGACAAAGTCATAAATTTTCTTAATGTGATCATACTGCCAAACGTCAATAAAAGGTAATAGCTACTATTTGCTTGACATGTTAGATTTTACAAAGTACATGCATGCCCATCAAATCCTTTGATCCTCATAATAACATTGATTTATATGTCATTATGCTCAATTTAAAGATGAGGAATTGAAGCTCAGGAAAATCACAGTAGTTGAAAAAGTGCTGCTGATGAGGAAAGATGTTTGTATATGATAATTATGTGGGAGAGATTTGGAGACTCCATCAATAACTCACATTGTTTTGGTGTGGTTGGATGTTCTTACATATGTGTCTATTGTGACTGAAAACTGACCTGCAGTCCTGGTTTTACTTTTTGAATTAATATAAATTAACATGTGCTGAGTACCTACTAGGAATTAGGCAACTTATATGCCTTATTATTAGGCAACTTATATGTCTTAGGTTATTTAGCATAATGTATTATTTTATTCATCTTATGAGAAAATAGAACCTCAGAGTGGTTAAGCAATTTTGATGAAGGTTATTAGAATCATGTTTTGCCTTCTAAAGCCCAAAGCATTATCTATCTATTTGCTACTCAGGAGGTACCAACATTAACTCCCTATTGGCATATTTGAATTTCTTCTAGAAATTTGGGACCTCCAAAATTTAGACAATTTGTTTTATGAATTCAATGCTGTTTCCTTTCACGAATCTCACTTTAGATGTTGCTCTAATGAAATTCGTTTCTTTTGTCCTACTCTCCAAATGCATGGTGCCCATTCACATTCTAGAACTCTTGTTTTTTTTTCCAACTGAAATGCCTTCTGTCCTCTGCTTCCCTATCAAATCCCATTTATTCTCCTCTTGTTCATTCATGAACACTTGCTCTATGATTCTATGTCAATCCCCTCTTATTTCCTAGTGTTGTGGTCTGGATATGTGGTTTGGACCCAGAAACTCCTGTTAATGCAGAAATGTTTGGAAGTGAAGTGATTGGATTGTGAAAGTTGTAACCTAATCAGTCCATCTTAGTGGGAATGGACTAAGCAGGTGGTAAGTGTAGGCAGGTAGGGTGTGGCTGGAGGAGGTGGGTCCCTGGGGATGTGCCTCATGACTCCTCCCTACCCTTTCTCTGCTTTCTTCACATCATGAGTGGAACAAGACTCTTCCTCCACACCCTTCCACCATGATGCTCTGCCTCACCTTGGTTCAGAGTCATGGACTCCGCACACCATAGACTCAACATCTGGAACCATGAGACCAAATAAACTTTCCCTCCTCTAAGTTATTTTTTTGTGGCACGTTTTGGTCACCGTGATGAAAAGCTGATTACCACAGCTAGCGTACAGGCTCCGTTGACTCTGTTTTATCATCCTGTTTTCTGATTGTTTCATGTTTGTGTTTTATTTGTACAACTAGACTGTAAATCCTGCAAGGGGAGAAAGTCACACACTTCTTTCTGCCCTGGCATAGTTTCAAGCCCAATTTGGTGTATAGACACGCAGATACGCTTGCTCAATACTCTTTTTTTTTTGGCATTATCAATGAATAGTTTCTCTTCGGGCCCAGCCTCTGGAGCCATCTGTTTCCCAGGCAGGCTCCCCTGTCACAAGAGAAATCCCTCACTCTAGAACTATAAAGAAAATAGTTCCAAGGCAGTATTTTTATTTTTAGGAAATCAGTCTAAATCTGCTATATACAGTGTGGCTATGCATCACTTAAGGACAGTGATATACCCCGAGAAAAGAATAGTTAGGAAATTTTGTCATTGTGTACCTACACAAACCTAGATGGTACAGCCTTCTGAACACCTGAGCTACATGGTTCAGCCTGTTGCTCCTAGGCCACACCTGAAGAGCATGTTATTGTACTGAGTACTGTAGGCGATTGTCACGCAACAGTGTTTGTGCATCTAAACATAGCTAAGCACAGACAAGGTACAGTGGAGATACTGGGCAATCAGAATTTTTCAGTTCCACTGGAATCTTACAGAACCATTGTCGTAGAGTCAATGTGACGTCAACTGAAATGCTGTCATGAAGTGTAGGTCTGCTGCTTTGAAGGACAACACTGTCTTGCCCAGGTTTCGGAGATCTCCGTGGATTTACCTGTTTAAGATGTTCACTGAGGGCGATTCTCAAGCTGCCATTCCTTCTGTTTAACATCTCACAGGTCATGAGGGTATAGAAGATTGCAGTGCACACCAAGGGCATGCAGAAATAGAACCCGAAGAGCCACCAGTCCTTCACATCTTGGTAGAACTGTGCAGTGAAGAGAAGGGAGAGAAAAGGAGGGACACAGTGATTAGGTTAACAGGGCAGGACCTCTGTAGCCTCAGAATCTGCCCTTGGAGATGTATTTGTATATTCACGATCCCACCTGTAGTAAAGGGCTTGGGTGTGGTGTTCAAAACTCAATTAACTTTGAAACTCCAAAAATTATCCTGGCTTGACTCTAGCACACAAAGAAACTACACATTAAAAAACTGTCCTGACAGGGATCTTTTTTGTAAGTTTCAGTGACACAACGCAAGAACCCTAATCCAGAAAAAGAATTCCCTTCCAAGGTATATAAAACATGTTTATCTTTATTTATTGATAAGCCTCAAAATTCTGCTAGTGCCTGGTTGACTTTTAATTATTGTGGTTAAAGTGCACTTAATGCATGTCTCTTGTTTGGAAGCAGGAAAAGTTCTGCGTGGCTTATCTGTGGAGCTTTGGGTAATGGGAGTTAACCCTTTGCTTGGTATGCCAGCTATGTGACCCCAATGCCAGACGGTTTGAGCCATCAATAACCACCCTCTCACTCCCTCTTTTTATACTGGCCACCTGGAAACTATTGAGGCAGCATAGCTTAGCCCAAGGCCTACTTAGCAAGCGCTCCCTGTGGGCAAGGATCTGTGAGCCCGTAGAGTATTCAGCTTTATGTCTTTTTAAAGGAGCAAACTTAGTACTTCATAAAAAGGAAAGTTGGAAAGTGATATCCACATTTTTATTCTAAATTCATCACCAACTTGGAAAGAAATGCTTTTTCCTTCCTTACAATGTTGCTTCAGATTGTTTATTTACTAAGGATAAATGCAGCCTCCTGTAATATTTCAGTTCCCACAGTAAAAAATAATCGTGCTGCTCTGTGAACCACTGGACGGTTTCTGAATATAGAAAGGGGCCCAGTGGGTTACATTTACAGTATGTCTATTAAAATAATCTAAAAATGGTTCCCGAAGACAAAAGTTCAGGCAGGGGTTCTTAACTATTTCTATGCCACAGACTCCTTTGGAAGTCTGGTGAGCACTGTAGTCCCTTTGGAGAACAATATTCTCTCTCTTTTTCTGATATGGGGGGATTGAACCCAGGGGTGTTCTACCACTGAGCTACATCCACAGACTATTTTAAGAAAAATATATATATATTTCAATTGTCAATAGATGTTTATTTTAAAAAAATTATTTGTTTATATGCAGTGCTGAGAATCAAACCCAGTGCTTCACACATGCGAGGCAAGCACTTTACCCCACTGAGCTATATCCCCAGCCTGTTTTATATTTTACTTTTGAGATAGAGTCTTTCTAAGTTGCCCAGGCTGATCTCAGACTTGGATTCTTCCTGCTTTGATCAACCAAGTCACCGGAATTATAGGTGTGTGCCACAGTGCTCAGCTGAGAACCATATTCATATGTTTAAAGTAAAATATATACGAATACAATATCGTACATTGCCGGTTATATGGCAAGATGTCTATAAACGTATTAAAAATAAAGTTCTGATACAACATACATTTTTTATCAACAAATTAAATAACAAACCTACTGGTGACTCTAATAACTATCGGGATGCTGAAGCAGTATTGAGCATAAACAATATTTTCAAGGATACAGGTGTGATACTGTGTGACATTGTCTGCTATTTCCATCAGTGAAAAAGTCATGGCACTCTGAAATACCATTGCAGTTTGTTGCCCACATTCGTAATTGAAGCAAATGGTAACTTTCAGTTAGAAGTTAGTGAAAACAAGCACAATTTCTTTTCCATCCAAGCCCAGACCCCTGGTCAAGTACAAATTCCCAAAGGAGTTAATTTACCCAAATCTGCTTATATGAAGATTTTCATTCATTTATATATATCACATTAGAGAAGGATTTAGTCCTAAACTTAAAAAAAAAAATTAGAAGGACTCTCTTTTTGTTTTGCAGTGCAACACTCCTTTGAGCCCCACCCCTTTGTTAGTAGCCCCTTCTTCCTGGCGCATTGCTGGCTGGGTGGGAATGACCCAAGGTCTGCAGTTGCAAAGGGTCTGGAAGCTGAGCTCTGAGAGGGTTGGCTCCCCTTCCTCCCTCCGTGGCACAGTCCATTTCTTTTGAAATGATGTCATAAGCAAGGGATTGGAGAGGGCCTCAGGTCAGTCTAGGATACAGCAAAACTGAGGAGGAAAGAGTGGGGAAAAGAGGGGAAATAAAATTAGGTAAAAAGAACAAGACTCAAGACTTGAAATGAACTCCAAGATACCATCAGCTCAACTCATACCCTTTCACCGCAATCCCTCAGAGGCCACCACGCCTGCACGGTGGCTTCTCTTTGCATAATGGCTTATATAGGAGACTCCAGTCTTTATGAAGTAACACCTCATGTTGTCCAGCTCTAGGGATTAGTTAACACCTTCTTATACTGAGCCTCTTTCCTCTCTTGCTTTTGTCTGGAATATCTAGATCCCTTGTCTGCACTGCCAAATTCTGATAACCTCCTATGACTTGATTTTCATTGTGAAAACTGACCTGAGTTTTAAAAAAAGGGTCGGCGGATAAACAAAAGACTTCAATTTTAAGATTGCCAGTTTGGCAGTTTTCCTGAGCACTTTAAATATCAAAAGAAGAATTTCCAAACAAGATAACTGATCAACTGAAAAACTTCAGATTTTGTGAATTTTCCAGCTTAGGAAAGCATACCTTGAAATGTCTGTAAATGATTAAATGTGGAATCTGAGCTGCGTGGAGCTTACATCAAAGCACTAAATTATGCTGATTTAAGAGAAATAGTTATCCTTTTGGTTCTCCTTAGTCCACATGTAACTAGTTTTGCAAAGGAAAAATGCATTTTAAATAGCATAGTCATGTGCTTAAGGTTTTCAGAGAAATATTACTGTGGCCAGGTGTATTGAAGAAAAACTGAGTTTGTTAAACAAAAAAAGTCTTTAAAAAAGTTCTGTAGTTTGGACTGGGGATATAGCCCAGTGGTATAATGCTTGCCTTACATGCATGAGACCCTGGGTTTGATCCTCAGCACCACATAAAAATAAATAAATAAAAATAAAGATATTGTGTCCATCTACAACTAAAAAAAAATTAAAGTTCTGCAGTTTTATAATATTTGTGTATCACACAGAATTCACATTAATATGAATATATGCAAGCATTACTCCCTACTTTGAGTTAGAAAGCCACTCTTCAAAAAAAAAAAAAAGTAATCTGGTCCCTCTTTCTTGGTAAATGGGCTTTGGAATTCCCAGTTGCTTGGTATAGAATTGTGTTGGCGGTGGAACTACAATTCGAGATGAGGTGGTGGGAAAGGAGGGAGAAAGGGAGAGAAGCAAAACAGTTGTTCTGTTCAAGAAGCTACACTCTAGTTTTGCATCTCTTTTCCTGTGACAGAAAGATGTGTGACTGAACTGACAGAGTAAGGCACAACTGCATTGTGGCGATGTCCACAAGTTGTAAGAGGGTGAGGTTTAAAGCGCCCAGTCCCCAGTTACCTCCTTTTAAGCTTTGGTAAATTTTAAAACTCAGCAAACTCAGTCAATTATGAAAACCATCAGTACCTCCATGAACTTTGATGTGGCATTGAGCATACAGGTTTTGTGCTGTTCACCCCGGTATTCAAAAGGCACCATGACAAAGCCTATGGCTTCGGGGATGGCCAGGATAAAGGAGAGGATCCAGATGGAGACAATTTCAATGGCAGTAATCAAGGGAATCCCAATTCCTTGAACACGACTCCAGGAGGCAACTGCTCTGTACCTGGAAAGGGGAAAAAGAGGATGAGAGAAGGAAGGAAGAAAGAAGGGGTGCTAAAATCAACTTACTATGATATTTAAACTTTTTTTTTCAGTTAAATATAAATCTTAAATGCTGGAAATCTCCTCCTTTTGGCCAGTGTCCAACCATTGGCTTTTTAGGAATTTTCTGAGGCTGGATGTGAAAAACCAGTAGGGCCATTAACAGTTCCACCCATCGGGAACCCTGAGCCTGAGATCGACAGCCGAGTTCCAGGGAGATCCAGAGAGTTTGAGTGTGGCAGGAACAGATAGGCATGCTGTGTGTTCTAAACTAGGGAAGGACAGATAAAGCAAAGGATAGTGACAGCCAATGGTACTTGTTCTAGTAATATCTTATTTCTCTTTATATATTAAGAAAGAAAACTTGAAGCGTTATCCATGGTGTGGGTTTAAATATCCCGAGTCAATGGCGACCATAGATGTGTGTTTTCTCTCTTCTTCTCTCAAAATATGATCACAGTTATCATAACGGTACCAGGTGGCAGACTTAGTAAACAGTATTTCTAGTAAATGTCCAAGAATGACTGAATCTCTCTCGTTAGAGTCCTATGCTAGAGTACATAAAAGTGAATTAAAAATATCTTTGTTCCTATTCTTTTGGGTTTACAATCTAACAGAAAAGAAAGGTTCATATGGGCTATAAATGTAACCGAACAATTATTTCAATCAAAAAAAATTCTCTGGTACTAAGAAATTTTTTACTTTTTTTAGCTTCCTAGTTTTCTGATAATAATCACATTTAAACGTTAAGTCTAAAGAAAGTCTGGTTTAAAAACTCTATGCTCCTTGACCTGCTATGATGGTCTGATGCTAACTGCTTTCAGACTTATTATTAAGAAAAGACATGTGATGTGGCATGGTATTTTTGCGGCTTCATTCTTGAAATTTTTGTTGCTGTTGTAATGGAAAGGAAACATTTTCTTTTTGCACTTTTCATTAGATAGTGACAGAAGGAGGCTGCAAAACAGACCAAGGCATTGGAGTCAGGTGCATGTGGGTTTGCAGGACATGCAACCTGGAAGATTAAGCAATAAAACCAAGGCAATATGTGCTACCCAAATCCACCCAGAGAAGTCCCCATCACTTGTGTTTAGTTCACTGTCTCAGTATGTCTTTAAAAACACATGGTAGGAATTGTGCTGCCTAGCTTTACTTCACCAGAACTGCTTAGAGATTAGAACCTATAGATTTGGATACAATTCAATTTGCTGGAGAAATGTAGTACACAAGGATTTTAGGGTAAATAAGATAGGTATACAATATAAATCTCCAGAAAAAGTCCAGATTAGTTCAGAATGTAATAAAATACAGCTATGCAAACAGACCAAGAAAATCCTTTGACAATATAGCCAAGATTGCACTTTAAAATTTATGGTTACTTCCAGCGAGATAATGCTTGCTGTTTGTTTTGCCTTGTAGTTGTATTTACTTTACTTTATTGCCTTATTGAACTGGCAGCCTCATGTCTAGGAAAAACTAAAGGGAGTGGAGATGGGATGTCTGTACTGCAAGGCTGTCAACAGAGTTACATCTATTTCCCGCCCCCCCTTCCATAAGCTAAGATAGGTGATTAAAATAAAACAGCTTATCTCCTCAGAGACTAAGAAAGCCAGATTTCTCAGCCATGGTTTGGGGAAGGTTGTTTAAGTAAGTAAATGTGGTCAACATGTTCTTATGATGAATATGTTCACAAACCATTGTCATTTTATAATATGTCCTGAGTTCTCAGAATAGTATACACTGTTATGGCTTGAATAACAAAGGTCCCCATGCTAAAGGCTTGGTCACCAGCCTATGGTGCTATTGAGAGGTGGTGGAACCTTTAAGAGGTGGGGCCTAGTGGGAGGAAGTTAGGTCACTGCGAGGGTGAGGTGCCATTAAAGAGAACTGTGGGATGCCAATCCTTTTCTCTTTTTCTCTTTGCTTCCTGGCTTCCATGAGGTGAGTAGTTTCCCCCTGCCACTTACTCCCACCATGGTTCAAAGCCTCACCAAGAGCCCCCAAAGCAAAGGGCCAATCAATAGTGGATGGAAACCTCCCAAACTGTGAGCCTAAATAAACCTTTGTTCTTTATAAGTTGATTATCTCAGGTATTTTGTAACAGTGATGGAAAGCTGACCTGCAGCTTAATCTAAGTAAGTTCAGCATTTTTATATGCGTAGAAGTAATATTTAGTGTCTACTTTGCCAAATGATATATAGTCAGTCTGGTTATTTATTAACTCATATCATGGAGAATTAGCGTATTTTCAATTTGTAATCATACTAAACTTGAAAAATGTCTTCATGAAATAAGGAGAATATAACCATAAGAACAAGTAGAACCAATCATTTGTGATGATGGAGATGGGGAAAAGTGTGGAAAATATGAAATCTTATGTTTTCCCAAACTGATTTCCATTTGGAAGCTAATGGCATAATATATACAAACACCAATATACTTTTCTTACCAGGTGTGATTACAAACAGACTTTAATTTAGTTGATATGTGTATGTATATGTGTGTGTATACACACACACACACACACACACACACACGATATCTTCAGTTTTCACAGAAAATCTGCAAGTGTAGATCTAAGTACCATAAAAATGACATTTTGGAAAGAATCACTCCTCCATGAGATGGTTTCTTCAGTTGGCTCCACTTGGCTCCTACCATATTCTCTTGCTTTTCCTTCTGCTGTACTGGCCACTCTTTTTCATTTCTTTGGCTGGAGCCTGCCCTGTCCCCAAATTCTTAGCATTGGATTTCTCCCAGAGCTTAGTCCTTGGACCTTTTCTCCGTCTACACTCTGTTTCTTGGTGGTCTCATCCAGTCTCACGGCTTTAGTATCATTTAAACAATTTATATGCTGATAATTCCCAAATTTATAGCTCTAGCCTGGAACCACCTCTAACTCCAGAATTGTATATCCAGTCTACAACTTGAGAGTTCCACGAGGAGACCTAATGGGCATTCAGACACACACAAGCCAGACCTTACCCCCAAACCTGTCCTCTCTGCAGTGTTTACCACCTTAGGCCCAGATCCTTGGCTTTTGTCTTCACTCCTCTGTAAATACTTTTGCAAACCTTGCAAAATCTTCCTTCAAGATCTATCCAAAGGAACCCACTTCTCATCATCTCACCTTAGTCTTTTTGCCTGGGTTATTGCCATGGTTTCCTAACTAGTCTCCCTACACCTGCTTTGACTTGCCACAGCTCACCCTGGACACAGCAATGGAAGAGTCTGTTAAGTTAGATGAGGGCCCACTCTGCTCAGAGCCTTCCCAGTGAGTTCCTATCTTTTGGGGGTACCTTCAAGGTGTATGGGAGCTGCTTTTGCTTTTCCTTTAGGTCTTCAACTCAATTATGTCTTTCTATGGATGCCTTCTCTGGACACCCTACTTAAAACCTCCCACTCCTCTTCTAGAATCACCCTGTCCTGCTCACCCTTATTTTTCTCCATAGCATTCAGTACCATGTGACAAACCAAATGGTTTATCCATTGATTTTGTTTTTTGTCTATGCTAATGTCCCCTTTAGAGTCTAAACTCCACGAGGGCAGGCGTCCTATAGCTTGGTCCCAAAGCCTAGAGCTATAGGTACCCGATAAATGTCAGCTGAATGGAGTGTCTTTTTGTTGTTATGATGGTTTTCTTCCTTACCATTCACTTTTTTTTTTTTTGCTTTTTTGTCCCAAACCAGCAGTACTGTACATTCTAAACATATTCTTATTTTCCAAGTTAGACCTGAATTAGGCAATAGATAAAAAGCTAATACTTCTAGAAACTCTGAATAAAATAACTTAAAAAACCAGGGGGGACCTTTGTGCTGATCTTTCTTCCCTATGTGTTGAGATGGGATCCTGAGGACGGGGAACAGCAGGGCTGGCATGTTGCCACATCTTCTGCCTGGTCCCCAGTGAGCAAGGGGAGCCCGTGCCAGGGCTCTGGTCTGCTGGCTCCCAGGGGAGTCTTTTCCCATTACATCACCTTGTTCCCTGTCACGTGCTAAGCCAAAATGAAAGGATAAATCATATGTTTTATTTATGTAAAGATGTTTGTTACTGTGCATGTCTATAAATAGATTTTTAAAAACATGTTTTCAAGGCCAGAGGCATTTGGTACTTCTTTATTAAATCTTTGAGGTATGGTCTAAGATAGTCATTACAATTTAAAAAAATCATGATTGAAAAAAAATTTAAAACATTATAAAACTAAAACTCAAAAAATACCACTTCAACAAAATCTTTTTATTTGCCTCTTATTCCTTGCCCACTGCTATTCTCATAGACACAGTTTGAAAATATACTATAATAATATGAGCTACAATTTTATTTTTAGCTTTATTTATGTGGAAAATATCCTCCCATATTTTTAGGCATAACACTTCTCAAATTAGTGTCTACCCAGAACAGATTGTTGATAAAATTTACTTAAATCTTTCTCCTATGTTTGTATCACTTCTAGTATTTCTTTTTCTTTTTTTGTTTTTGTTTTTGTTGTTGATGGATCTTTATTTTTTATTTATTTGTATGTGGTGCTGAGGATCGGACCGTGCCTCACACATGCTAGGCAAGCACTCTACCACTGAGCCACAACCCCAGCCCCTCTAGTATTTCTTGATTGTGAATAACATGCCTATAAACATGTGTGTACATATAATTTTTTTCTCTGGGTGGTTTACCCTGTATGAATTTTTTTGAGTGAAATTGCTGGATTAAGGGTGTGAAAAATGAGCTCAACTACCTTTCAAAATGTTTCTAACAAGTGCCTATGAGTGAATGCTTGCTTGCACTCGATTTTATTAGTTTCTTTTCAATTTTGCCACTTTTATAAGAAAAAGTGGCATTTCCACTTTGATCATCATACAAAGTTTAGAGCCAAAATACTAGCGGAAAGAATTATTATTATTATTTTTTACCTTGGACTATGTGATAAGTTTTTTAAAATATTGTGGTTATACATAGTAGTAGGAT